ATTTCCACCAGGAAAAGACCAGCTTGCTTCCTGATTCTGCTCCATCCACCTGAATGTCTTCAATTGCCCTTTCCTTTCAAGGTGTATTACCTGCGTCCATTCCACCTGTTACAGCGGTGTCAATAACAGTGAAAAGCTCCATAAAATGGAACCACCACCTCCTTCCATCTTTCCTCACTCACATCCCACATCTTTTTGTCTCCACCATTCTCCAGCGGGCTGTTATCAGTATTTGAGGGGTCTGTAAAGTGAGAGGAAAAACTCCTCACTGGCTTGCTGGCTGTCATTGTTGTGATCCGACAGGTCCTCTTTCCCTCGGAGAGCAAGTGACCTATGGGGATGTGTCTGGGGATAGATGTTTGAGTGTGCGTGTGTGTGTGCGTGTCCTTGAAGATGAGCTTCGTCCCGCTGAGGGAAAAAAGGGGTCAGAAGTCAAATTGAACATGAGGGGGCCCCACCGACTTTATCTCAGTATTCTTTGTGTGCATGTGCCCATGTGTTATGTGTGGGGCCCTGTGAGTGTCTGTTGAATCTATGGCTGTGTGTGCATGAGTGAATGAGTGTGATTGCACTTTATCTCTGGGAATGTCCAGTCCTCTTGTATGAGCGTGAACATGTCTCTCTTATCTCAGAACTAACCTGGTGCAACAAGAGCGAAGAGAGAGAAACAATGGTGATACAAGTGTAGATACAGACAGTCCAACTCAATGTGATGCAAGAAGGCCAGCATGCACACGGATAATGGAGGGAGAAGAAAGAAGTCAAAAGGAGAGCGAATGACATAAGAACATCAGTAGAGAAGAAAAGAAAAGTAGAAGAAATAAGATGACAAAAGAGGAGAGAAGAAAACAGACAAGGTTCGGCTCTCTCATGTTCTCTTATGGGAGCCACTGTACAGGCTCTTAAAGGGGACCTATGATGCTCATTTCCAGGTTTATACTTGTATTTTGGGTTTTTACTAGAACGTGTTAACATGATTAAATGCTCAAAAACTTTTTTATTTGCTTCATATAGTGACCCTGAATATACCTGTATTCACCCTCCGTCTGAAATGCACCATTTTAGCACCTGTCTCTTTAAGTCCCTCCCTTGTGAAATTGCCCAGTCTGCTCAGAATGGTCAGCATTTTCAGGTCCTCTACATCTTGGCATCTCTGCACTGTCCTCGCAGCCAGGGAGGGACTGGAAAAGAGTATGGCGGCACTTTCTATCATGAAAAATTAATCATAAAAGCTTCTTAACACAGTGTTCCAGCAGTATTTTAAGATCAAAACTCGGCTAAACATCAGCAAACAAGATTAAAATGTCTTCTTGATGTTAGCTTGTAGCTACATGTAGCAGTGTACTTGCAGCTGGCGAATGAGCGTATATTGCAGCACTTTCTCCCGTTAAATATCACCAACAACAGCTCAAGAATACAACGGGACATGTTCCTGCAGGAATATGATCTGAAATCAGGGAGAAATTAACAACATCAGCAAACAAGATTAACACCTTTTCCTAACGTTAGCTTGATGCTACATGTAGCAGTGTACTTGCAGCTGGCGAATGAGCATGTGTTGCGGCACTTTCTCCCGTTAAATATCACCAACAAAAGCTCAAAAATACACGCGGCCATGTTCCAGCAGGAATATGATCTGAAATCAGGGAGAATTTAACTACATCAACAAACAAGATAACATGCTTCCCTAATGTTAGAACATAGCTACATGTAGCAGTGAACTAACAGCTAGGGAATGATTCTGCATTATGGCAATTTCTACCCTCAAAAATCACCAATAAAACCTTCTAAATACTACCGGACATGTTCCAGTGGAAATATGATCTGAAATCAGGGAGAAATTAACAACATCAGCAAACAAGAGAACATCCTTCCCTGATGTTAGCACGTAGCTACATATAGCAGTGAACTTGCAACCAGGGAATGACTCTGCATTATGGCAATTTCTACCGTCAAAAATCACCTATAAAAGCTTCTATACACAACCAGAAATGTTCCAACATGAATATGATCCAAAAACTGAGAAAAAATGAACAACATCAGCAAACAAGATTTCATGTTTCTCTGACATTAGCATGTTGCTACATGTAGCACTGTAGGCTATGTAATACAGACAGCTGCAGTAGTGTGCATTAACATCTGACACTGACAGAAAATAAGGAAATAATGTATGTCTTTGAATATATATATTTTTGCTAGGCTGCTAGCGTTCAGGTCCTCACATAGCACAGGTCACAGCTCACCCACTTTATTTCAATCATAGCAAACTCTTATTTCCACCACTTGTGTGTGAGTCGTCTGAGACACTCATTACTTGCTGAATTTCATTAATATCACAGACTTTAACCTTTACAGACTGAATCCTGTGACACATATGCCCAAACACAATCCATACACACATGCCCACACTGCAGTTCATCATTATTACCTGTCCTGAGGCTGTAGAACCAATGTCATGCTGGAAAATAACTGTAGCTGCACATTTAGATTACACGTATGCTTGAGGTGGTGTATGTGTGTGTGTGTGTGTGTGTGTGTGTGTGTGTGTAAGAGAGTGTGTAAGAGCTACTGTGTGTCTGCAGAGAGTGGCTGGGTGCATGTGTTAGTGTTTGCTGCAGTACTAAAGGGCCTCTAGTAGAATATTAAATTCTTGGTGGGAGGCATATTGCAAAAAATATTTCAGGAGAAATGGAGATCAAATTATATCAGCTTGTGTAATGTCTGCTTGCTTAGGTGGGTGTTAAAATTTAATCCATACATCTTTTGCCTACACAGATATTTGTGTGCATCTCCACAATTACCACTGAACATCTGAGCGTGTGCGCATGTGTGTGTCTCTAAGCTTGTGTGTGTGGGTGTGTGCCCTGGTGTATGTGTGTGTCTCCAGTGCACTGGCTAACTTTTACTGCTCATGCCCTCAAGGTTAAAACGAGACTGACTGGTGATTGTAAAACCTCACACTCACTGGTAGGGACTTGAATGCTAGGTGGACACACACACACACACACACACACACACACACACACACACACATTTTTGTGATCGTATGCAGGCACCCACGCGAAAAAAGACAACCCACAGAGCCAAACTTATATTGCATTACAACTCAACTAGTTGAAAAGGGAGAACACATTACAAAACACTTCTAAAGAGAAAGTATGCTTGAAGAAAAAAGTGTTGGCTTCCTTGCTGCCTCTTCTGCATTCTTTCCAGAAGTTATGCCTCAGAGTCCTATTAGTCTGCTGAAGAGAACTGTAATTGAATTTAAAATATCATTCAGGTGGAATGATAAATTGTTTGGCATCTGAAAAAACTCAAGATGAACAGCCTTGGTTTCTGCAGAGTGAATAGTATCCTTTTGTGAAGAATATTCTTTCAGTGAAAGTTAAATGTAGAAATTTTCCAAAAAGAAGTAAAATCACTCGGCTAAAACAACTACTGGCGCTGTCAAGGCCACGCCGGCGTCTACTATATTCACTGAGTAAGAAGTATGAGCACAATTAGATAAAAAAACAACAACAAAAAAATAGAATTACCACCTCGCAGTTGGATGCCTCAGTGCACCACTCAAGTTGTACTTACAGTTTGCATTAACATCAATGAAAACATGGATGCCTTCAAAGTGGGTACCCAAGATCAGTGTCACCGATTCAGTATCTGACCAAATGTCTCCCCATTTGTTCCTGAGATATGAAGATGAGTAATGGCCAGAAATGTGTTTTTGCAGAACATTATGATGTCATGCCCAGTTCAGACCAATGATTCACAATGAGACTGTTTTAGAACGTTGCAGAGAAAAGTTGCAGCAGTGTGAACTGGCCGGTCTGAGCTTGTGTCAAGCCGGCTGATGGTGTCACCTGCAACCCCGCTGGTCAAATCGCCAGCTGCTGGTTTTCAAATGTAAGGCTGGTCACCTGTTTCTACAGCCAATGGTCTTGTAGTGAAGTTGCTGGTCCAGTCAAAAATTTCATCACTACTACAGATGCAGCTGTAGCCAGTATCTCACTCATTTATATTTTAAGAAGCCTCAAATTATATTCAGCCACAAAATAAGCCTGAAAAGCTGCAAATCAGAACAAAAGTACAGAGAGTTGTTGCATAGCGATGATACACCGTCTCATCTAGTTGCATTGGAGTGAACTGGCAGGTTTTTAGAACGTTGCAGAACTATGCATTGCAAGGAGCTGCTGTTTCAACTTGTGTTGGTGCAAATCTTTGGTCTAAACTGGGCTTCACAGTGAAGCTGACCTTTGGCCTTTTCGATATAAGACGTCATCACTTCGGAATTTTATCCCATTAAACATTTATGTGAAATTTTGTCATAATTACATATGAATTCTTGAGTTATGGTCGAAAACATATTTTGTGTGTGACCTTGACCTTTGACCACCCAACACTAATCAGTCAAAGTGGATGTCTGTGTCAAAATGGAAGAAATTCACTCAAGGTGTTCCTGAGATATTGCACTCACAGGAACAAGATGGATGCAAGGTCACAGTGACCTTGACCTTTGACCATCATAATCTAATCAGTTCATCTTTGAGTCAAGGTGGATGTTCTTGCTAAATTTGAAAAAAAATCCCTCAGGACATTCCTGAGTTATCGCATTCAAGAGAATGGTACAGACAGATGGACGGACAACCAGATAACATAACGCCTTTGGCTACGGCTAGCACCAATGCAGAGGAACGAAAAGGAAAAAAAAATGTATTTTGTCATTTCTTTTTCTGTCTGAAACATTCTTGCAATGTGGTTATATGAACTTGCATAGATTTGGAGTAACTGTGTGTGCTAGCAGCCTGACTGATCCTCACATCTCCACATACCAGATTCTATCCACTTGTTCACATAAACATGGGCATTACACACACATACACACACCATTGTAACAGTTCCTGAGGCCACAGAAGCAGAGTCTTACTGGAGAATAACCACAGCTACACTCTGACATACTGTTCATGCGAGGGAGGTGAGGTGTAAGTTTGTCACAGCTACAGTACCCGTGACCAGCTCTCTGATTTCCACATCTCCAGTCTTCCTCAGCAGACGGACCAAAGCAGGAATCCCCCCGCAGTTCTTCAGGGCCACTTTGTTCTCATCGTTGGCCTTGCCGTACACCAGGTTCCTCAGGGCTCCGCAGGCGCTGCGATGAACCTCGCTCATCCTGTGGTCCAGCAGGTCGACCAGCAGCTGGATGCCTCCCTGTCTGCGGATCTGAGGATCAAAGAAAACGTATCAATGAAACTTGCGCTTTCGGCTCAAATGAATTATATATAACAACAACATAAAAATCCATGGCAGGCTCCCAGAATACACATTCATGCACAAAGACTTCAAAAAATCTCCACCAGCAGAAAAATATTGGTGGTCAACAGTCTATGCAGGTAGCTACTTGAGTGTGTACAGTACGGGTGTTTGTATGTGTGTGGCTAACGGTGTCCGTCAATCAGATTAACTACCCGGTGTGTACTAATTAAAGATGCTATGACACAGCTAATGACTGTGCTTTCACAGGAAGACACTTAATTACACTGATGAGAAAAGGAAAAGCTTGCTGTGACACCAGCTTTGTTTATAATCTAACAAAATATGACAGTATTTTCTGCCTGTTTTTGTCTGCTGTGTTGTCTGTCTCTCGTCCTGCTGCCGATTACAGCCGGACCAACCCGTTACTACTGACACTTTTAGCTTCTGCTAACTGAAAAGGAAAATAGGTCGGAGGCACGACTGCTACTTTAAATAGACAACTGAGGTTCAATTGCTTTATGTAACACTACTGGGATATTTTTAATGTGCACCAAGAAAAATGGTGCAAACATGTGTGATCTGAATGCATGATGGTGATGGAGGATATAAAATCTAAACTTGAAAATGATGAGAGACTATTTCAGAGATCAGGAGTTTATTTTTAAGGCCAAAGAGGCATTTGTGGTCCCTCAACTACAAAACTTTAATAATAAAAAATAATAAATAATGCACGCACTAACGTTGCATCTTTTATTTCTATGCAATTTTTAGACGTTTTAGAATTCTTGGTCAAAAACCCTGTGACGTAGACATGCATATCATCAGTGCAGTCTCAAATGTGTTTGGGGGAGGAGAAGGACTTTGAATTGGATGTTGTGGGACAGGAAGCCAGTGGAGGTTTTGAAGGACAGGGGTGATGTGATTGTGGGAACGGGAATGGGTGAGCAGACGGGCAGCAGAGTTCTGATGACTATCCTGTCGTCCCTCTACATAAAATCATAACCTGCATACCATCATAATCAAGATCGAAATACAACAGAATCGTCCAGCAGCATCAACATAATCAAAGCTTGACATGAACATAAAAATATGACCAGCATAACAGTACAATGTGAGTGTTTGTATCTATTGACTGAGGGGAAACAGGCAGGGTTTGAGGCTCCTATAGAAGACGGTGGGTGCCGTCAGACAGGAGCGATTTTGCCCTCTTTACCTCCTAACAGACAGGCTACCCTGCTGGACACCTGTTCTTTTGCTGTTTGTTTTCACTCTTTTAGCTGGTGCATTTTTGGATTTCATATTTAGACTGCCACACCAACAGATGAGGGAAAGTGTTACAACTGATTCAATGTAAGATTTGTAGATGAGACTCATCAGACTTTGTGAATTTCCGTAGGCAGAAAACTTGTTGCTGACCTCTCCTACAAGCCATTCCAGTGTCAAATTCAAACGTTGTCATTGATGATTGAACCAGGCTATTTATAGCTGACGACAGATTCCACCTCGAGACCCTCAATAATGGTGCTCTGCGTGGGAGGAGCGTGGCGTCTGAAGTCAAGCCGCATGTCTTTTTTTCTTGAGACACTGAGTTGAAGGAACGAGTTTTTGCACCATTTTACAAAATAATCCACCACAGGGCCATGACTTGATTCATCATCTGGAACTGTCTCATCTGCAAAGCTCAGGATATATCAGTTCTCAAACTAGGGTGGCTGTGGCTAAGAGGTAGAGCGGGTCATCCATTAATTGGAAGATTAGCAGTTTGATCCTAAGTAGAACCTGCAGATGAAGAGAGCTCCCCTAACATAACAAATATACAAATATAAAGAAATTGTGAGTTGAGAATAATGCTTAAGTCTCATCACATATCTGAAAAACATAACTTTTAAACCTTTTATAGCATATGCTATCCTCTACTCCTTCAGGAATACCTCAGACGTTTTTAATGCTGATCCAGATAATATTATTCAGCAGGTAAAATTGCAGACCGTAAGATTTTACTATATAATTGTTAGATATAATCAAGGATTATGATACACTGTGGACTTAAAAGATTTCCTAAAAGGCTTCCAGTAGCAAAGGTAGTAAACTAGGAAGCCTGGTTCCAGACGTCTGCATCTTAGATTTGTTCAGTGATTCAAACAGAAATGAGTGAAGCGAAACAAAACGGCAATGCACTGTGATTATCAGGCTCTAAAGTTAATGTTGCAGCCTGCAATTTCTGTGACTGTTTTTGCCAAATAGGTATAAAAGCAGATTTTGTAAACTTATTAAATAGTGGAGAAAGCCTCCTGTCTGGTATGACTCCCCAGAAAGTTCAACAAGGTTGTCAAGAAAGGTGCCCACACCCTTAATGGCAGACTCACTAGTGAATATTGATCTCCGCCAGGTGTAAGCTTGGAGGGGATTGTGCCCTTGGTCATATGTCAGTGTGTGTGCTTGTGTGAGTGTGTATCTGTCTGTCTGCAGCTAATCCTGCAAACTACTGGACCAATCAGCCTAATATGTTGTGTGCACATCTATGACGATATGTTTAAAGACCTCTTGTGGTTGCAGTCACTCACAATTGTTAAACATTTTTAGCCCCTTTTACACTGCCAGATTTTTGGCGAATGTTGGGTCGTTTTGCCGGCAAGCTGCGAGCATTAAGACACACCAAGCCGGATTGGCGAGTTGATCCCAGGTGCCCAATTTTCCGTCGCGTAGGGGTAAACTTATTGGTGGAACCTTTTTGGTTTAAAAAGAGCGAGGCGCCCTTCCGCCACGGGAGGGGCTGTTGATGACTTGTGGGAGGAGCTGTTGATGACGCCACATGTGCGACCCACTGGCGGTGGATAAACAGGAAACAGCTGATACAGCCGATTTTGTTTTTATACTGCCAATGCTGAAAAAAGACTGATGGGGCTTTCCTGCAAATTTGCACAATTCCTATTTAAAAAGGGCTATTGGCTGTTTTATACCATCATGGACTGCTGACCACTCTAATTTTGAACTGGAGAATGTCCAGATTGATTCCCAATATCTTATGATCCATTAAGAAAGGTACAATACAAGATGAATGAAGCCATCTTGACTGTAAGGGAACCAGCAGGGACAATCCCATCGGGTGCAACAGCACCGCATTTCGGCTCAAACCTACTTTTGTTCTGTCAGCCACAAAGTGTCACACCACACCGGGAGCATTTCATAAGTGGAGCGTTTTGTTGCCGTACAGGTATTTATTGATTTGGTTATTTGTCCTTGATATTTGTGCCTCTATCCCTGAGCAGGCAGCTAAAATGTTTATTTTTCTGTTTTTGGCAAGGAGAGTTTATTTTTTTTTAGTTTTATTTTTTCTCCTCTTTAGTCTGTAGGCTCCAACCTAATAAAGGTAATACCATTAAAAGTTAAGTTATGAATGACATGGATCCAATATTTGTGGTTACGTTTTAGTAATTAAAAATAAACTCATCAGCATAATTACATTGTATCCTCTGAAACCCAAACTGTGGCACGTCTGCTGGAAATACAAGCGTGGCCGTGATCAGGTCAGGCAGCCGTGTGCAGCTGGAATGCAGCCACCTGGTGGCTAAATCAACTGGATGCACTTTACTAACTTTCATATGTATGCAAGCATCTACTACACCCTCCTGTATCACTCTTCTACTATTCGGCTTGTTTTAAAGATGTATGCCTGCCACTACAAAGAAGGCACAGATAAATCATATTTAGGGTATTTCAGCTAGTGGCCTCACTTTTCTGCACAGGGCAGCAGGAATTTCCCTCCAATCTCCAAACTGCTCAGTACTCAGTACATGTAACCATTTCCTCTCTTAGTATTTTATAAGTATAGCTGTATTTGCGAGGTAAATGCACACAAAGGCACAAAGAGAGAGAAACAAACAAGCCAATCAGTGCAGATTTATGATTATACCCTGATTCTGTGAGACAAGACAAGGCAGTCAGGGCTGTTAGCCCAGTGGGGATCACGATGAGGGCACTCTGGTGTTACACATTATGCCTTCCCCCTATGGTGTTACACATAATGCTTTCCCACCACGGCACTACACATATTGCCTTCTCCCTGTGCTGGTGCTTTTTAAACCCTCCCACATTGCTTCTCCACTGCAGGGATCTTTACCGGCCTTAGGGGGCCGAAGAGCTTACAGCAAGCCGTGTTTAGTCCAGTCGACAGGGGTGTAGTACTAATCACCAGAAACAGGCTGCTGTGATCACCAGGAGACTAATACGAACATGGATGGAGCAACTAGTGTGTGTGTGTGTGTGTTTGAGAAGGAGACAGAGAGAGAGTGAGAGTGAAAGCCTGTCTTTCACGCTCCCACTTTCACTGAATCTCTGGAGTACTGCAACAGGCAGAGTTACTCATCCAGATAACTCGGAAAAAGTTTTTCACAGTTAACTGCGTAATCAGGCTTCTTGAAACCCTCTTATTTTTCCGCATGTTCTCCCCCAGACCTGGGACATTAAGTACTAGAAAATAATTCTTAGTGTCTGTTTAATCGTGAAGCACCAGATGGGTAGAGTGTACCGCGCAGACATGTTGACAGGAACAGTAAAGTGCAATAAATAGGCTTCCAAGCCTTTTTCCTGTGATAATCCCTGGCACTCATTGTTTCGTCTCCTGTGGAAAGCTCACACATCTGGCATGAGTAAAAGCCAGAAGAAAAAAAAAACAAAAGGAAAATCAGAATGAGTGTTTACAAGTGCAATTTAACTTTGATTTATTCATCGTGAAAACATACAGATGATAAATGTGGGCCAGGTGGGAAGGGAGGGTGAAAGGAGTGAAAGAAAGCATAAGAAAGTGACGGAGGGCAGGGAGAGGATGGAGGTGTTTGATGACACAGCAGGAGTTTATCGAGCAAAATGACTTTGCTTATCTATTCAATTAAAATGGATTAAGGGATGCAATGAATGGCAAACTAACCTTGCTCCATTGGCCACACAATTTCCTCAACCTAAATCGC